AGAGTTTTTGAAATTGGGTTTGAAAATCCATGGGAGACTGGTTTTTTTTTTTTTTTTTTTTTTTTTATCATTATAGGGTTATCATGATTAGTGGGCGTTGATCAACTAAGAGCTTTCTGTTTAATTTCAAAATTTTTAGTAAGTGTGTTTTCTTTTATTTGTTCGAGTAGATTTCTTTTTTCTTTTTTTCACGTTTGATTTACATTCTTTAATGAAAACTCTGTGATTTCGTCTTTTCTAGTAAGCAGGTATTAATTAAAATTTTAATTTTATGAGCAGTTTTTTCTTTTGTGAAATTAGGCATGGATTCATCATGAACAGTACTCGAATTGATAATCTAAGGTTGAAAAACGGATGATGTACTAAATGTGAAAACTGGACAGTGGGTATTGGTGAAGGTTTCAAGAACCCTGGTTTACTATCAGGTCATGCACCTATAGGTGAGCTAGTGGATTGGCTTATTTATAAATAATGAAAAAGAGTTAAAATTATGTCAATCTATAAATGATTATTATGCATTTTTAAAAGAGTATAAAAAAGAGTGGAGTAGGTTTTAAAAAATGGTGAAATTGATGGAACTTTTCAAATAGGAGGACTGGGAATGTGAAACTGATGAATTTGTTCATTAGGAGAACTTTGTGAATCTAATTAATGAAGCTGCTTTGTCAGTGATATGTCGCAGCACAGATGATTTCTTTAGTTTATAAAACAGAAGTGCAAACTTTTCTTTACCTCTTCATTCTTCCAACTGCTCTCTACTTCTTCTCATCTTCTAAAAAATCCTTCTTCTTCAGGAGGGAGACCATTCCATGGATTCTATTTTAGGATGTTTTTCAATAATGTCTTTGCTAAGCTTTTTTAGTGAGACCCGTTGTTTCTCCTAGGAGTTTATAGTGAGAATTTTATATTGCTCCTCTGTTTGGATTCATCAATTTTTCAAATATTATAAAAATTTTTAAAAAATATTCTAAAAAATAGTCTAATTTTTTTTAATATTTAAAAAAATCCCAAAATATATTCTAAAAATCTTCTGCTCTTAAATATCCCAAAATATTTTCTAAAAATATCCCAAAATATACTCTAAAAACTCTGCTATAGTAAAATTTTTTAAAAACACCCCCAAAAACAGCTAATCCAAATGGATTTTATCTTCATTTTTTTGTTTGATTCGAATTTACTTCAAACCTGGTTGTCAAATCTAGAATGTCTTTGGATCTTGGGTCTATCTCAGCAGATCTTATCATTGTTATTAGAGTTTAAAGCCATTTGATTAGCAAATGTGTTGATTGGAACATGTACAGAAGGGAGTTGTAGCGATATATCTTATTAAAAGGCAATTTGAAATTTTCTTGTATTTTTCAGATTTGTTCAAAATCATTCAGATGTAATGATTGGGAAAAACACCTTGAGAGAGCTTACCAAAGAGTGTAATATGTAAATCAGGAACCCAACTCTAATTGAAAAGTTCAAGCCATTAGGTTTCAAATCTTTACTTATATATTAACTGTCCTTTCTCTATCTCTCGGACTAATGTGGGACATAATCCCTTACTCATGAATTCTTAGCACTTTGGCACTTCTGTTCAGCATCAATAAGAGAATTTTTACCGATCTAACTCTTAGAAGAATCCATTTGCCCAAAAGTAATCCAGTCTCGCAACCTAAAACTCTGATACCAATTTGATAGGGAGAAACACCTCGAGAGAACTCATCAAAGAACTCAATATGTAAGTCAGGAACCCAATTCTGATCCAAAAACTTAAGCCATTAGGTTTCGGGCCTTTACTTACATATTAACCATCCTTTCTCTATCTCTCAGACTAATGTGAGACATAATCTTTTACTCATGAACTTAACATGTAAATCAAATTGTATTAGACAATTTTCAATAATCCGTTAATGAAATTTGCTTTTTGTCAAAAAAAAAAAAGGAATAGAATTGCAAATGAGCCTTGCTTGTTGCACCTATTGTAGCGGACTCTGGATATGCTTTAGAGAAGATTTTTCAGTTTTTTTGGAGTGGAATAATCAGAATCAGAGGGCAAGTTTCTAAACCACGGAGGGAATAGTTTATCAGAAAGAGTGTGTGTGAACATGGATCTGATGTAATAATATACTGAACATTTGTACAAAATGTATTGACTTCTGCATTAATTTTGTCCAATAGCCCGGTTAGATCAATCATCAATGAGGGCCTTAACTTGTGGTGCTTAACTTGAACATTTCTTTATATCTTCTGGCGGCTTAATAAGTGGCTGACTTTTTCAATTCAATGCTTAACGTTGATTATTCACCTAGTTAATTACTAATATAATCTCAGCAATCTATAACATTTCTAAATTTTCTATTGTACTTGCCAGCAATTATGCAGATGGTTGTTCAATTTCTCCTAGTAGCCAGGTCCAATATAAGATTCCAATCCAACCGGCACTACAAAAACTATTGAGCAATTTGCCTAATCTATGTATTGACTTACACATGAAGACATATATAATTGACACTGGGCATCAAGATCGCCAAAGAAAATAGATACAAGTGTGATAAAACATGGCAAATTCGTACATCCAACTTCACTTTGTAGCATTATTCTTCCTCGCAAGTCTTACAATCCCCTCTAATTGCCTTCCTGGCCTTTATCCTAAAGCCCCTGTTGCCCTCTTTGTCTTTGGTGATTCACTTTTTGATCCTGGAAACAATGACTTCATTAAGACAACCACTACTTTCCAGGCAAATTTTCCGCCTTATGGAGAAACATTTTTTAAGCTCCCAACCGGGAGGTTCACTGATGGCCGCATTATCCCTGATTTTATAGGTAAGAGCGCTTTCTTGCAAAAATCTATATGTTTACAAATTAATCTTACGTGCTAAAGCCTGTGCAGATAGAGCATTTGATACTTGATACGTTATGCATATATATCTGTTAGTGCTTAAAGAAAAAACTTTTATAATGACGGTGTTTAAAAGATTAATCTTTAAAATATATTTAAAGCTAGTAGTGACTTTTTTGCAGCTGAATTTGCAAAATTATCTCTAATTCCACCATACCTGCAAACTGGATATCATGAATTCTTGACTAATGGCGTGAACTTTGCATCTGCCGGTGCTGGTGCTCTTGCTGAAACTAATACCGGATTGGTACGTATTAACTTGTGATTATGAGCAATTAATTCCAATATTTTAGTCACATCTAATTGCTAATAGGTCAGTTTTTCATGTCATTTTTCAGGTGATCGACCTTAAAATGCAATTCAAGAACTTTAGGAAAGCTAAGAAACATTTGAGGTTGAATATAGGTAAAAGAGCCGCAAGACGAGTGGTGAAAAATGCTGTATACTTGTTTGGCATTGGTAGTAATGATTACTTGAGCCCGTTGACTAATAATTCCAGTATATTTAAGTTGTATGCACCACAAGATTATGTAGCAATGGTGGTTGGCAACATTACATCGGTGGTTCAGGTAATATTCCGATTTTCTTTCTTTTTCAACCTTTTTTTTTAAAAAAAAAAATTAGTAGGGAAAATGTGAGGTTTAAGAATTCAGAATCTCTAAATTACAAAATTTCAACCTTAATCACTAGATCTAAACCTACTCGACTATTTTCTCTTTCAACTTTGTTAACTCTTTATTGCTAATATTGGAATTTCCTTAGCCAACACATATTGGCTTAGTTGATAGTACCATTTCCTCTAAAAACGGATCAGAAGTGGTCGAGGGTAGGGATGGCAATGGGGTGGGGAATGCCTACAAATTCCCCCCACCCCCGCCCCATCCCATGTCTCCCGCTCCCCCCGTCCCGTCCCTGCCCCGCCCCACTTCTCCCGCAGGGCTAATAAAAATTTGTTATATAATTTTATTATAGTTAAATTTTAACAAATAATCAAGTATTCAAATATCAACACATCATCAAATTATTATTCATTGTAATTTTACAATTGAAACTTATAAAAACAATCAAACAAAAATTATTTGAATACAATCCAATATGATGAAATAAATATAACTAAAGTAGTCAAGTTTTCACTTTTGACACAAATACAATCACTAATTCATTATTGTGCTTGTGTTTTTTTTAAGAAAAAATTGTTATTGTATTAAGTGTAATTAGGAATGTATTAGTAAATTTAGTATAACCAATTAATAATTTGTATTAGTACACATATATAATTACTAGGAGGATAACACCGCGCGATGCGCGGTGTAATTTTCACGGTTGCCCAAAAATGCCCAGTGATTCAAATTCTTATATTAAGTATGAAAAGTTACACAAATATGCACCAAAAGCTTTGCCGTTCTGTTTTTGTAGTCTTATTTAGTAGTGAATATGAATATTTGTTAAGAAAATGCAAGACAATATCATGATTAGACTACTAAGATCACTAAGATGCTCCTTGCTTCTGTAGGGTATCAATTTTGGTTATTTTGGTTTAATTGGCTATAAGTGAATATGTTTTTCAGTTATTTTGTATGTTAAGAGCCTGGTTAATACTTGTTAAGAGGGAATTCAAGTGTCACGATTATTAATTTAGAAAATCATCTAAATATATCGAGTACATTAAATGTAAGCGTGTGTAGATTTATATGGTAAATTTACTGTAAATTAGGCATATTAACGCATGTCCATTAGGATTGAATAGAAAAATTGATACCCTACAAGTTTACATAATAAGTATAAATAGCCAAGATTGGCTTTATATATGTTTGTCAAACTCATCATTCATGGAGAAGTAACTTGTGCAATAGTATATTGTATCAATCCAAATAAAGTACTGTAGCAGCTACACTTGGCGGTGGGGGGAACAAAGTTTGTTGTCTCGATTGGTTGGTACTTGGTAGTACTTTCTGGACTATACTCATCCATCGAAATTTTAAAGACCGGATGTCTTCTATAACGGTTAGTTTTGGTCAAGTCACATAGGAGAAGGAAAAAAATGCTCTGGAACATTTTCCTGTTTTTTGGGTACAAATAGATTAAATAAAACACCAAGTACAAGCCAAACAAGTATTACGAGGAAAAAAATTTCCCCTCAAATCTTTATCTAAAGCAAAAGGTAGTTCATGAGGATAGGAATCCAAAATTACAAAATGCCATTCCATCTTGCCTCCCAATCTAGCTAGCCCATCTACACATCTATTCACTTCCTATTGCAACCGCAATAGGACTCTGTAATCAACAATTATATTGCAAACAATGATTATTATGATTACTGAAAGTATTTGATTTCATTAGAGATATGATGTCAAGGCAGTCAACTTCAATATCTAGGAATTGAATATTTAACTCCAAAGCAAGCATAATTCCGTCTCTAAAACCCCATAGTTCAGCCAAAATATTGATAGCAATTCCCAAGTTTGCACTGTTTCTACTATAGCCTTCCATCCAACAACCAGAGGAGTCTCTACTGAGTTCTTTTGCTCCTGCCAATCCTGGATTTCTTAAGGCTGTAGCATTTCGAAGAAGTTTAGTTTTGTGCATGTTTCTAGCCTACGAATAGAGGATTCCAACAAAAACAACAAAAGATACATAGTGTCGATAATTATGGCAACCAAAACCCAAAAGGAAGAAGGAAAAAATAAATAAATAAGCACAGTCCATATTGATAAAATCATATTGGATGTGTGAATCAAGAGCTGAACCTAGCAGGACAACCTATATTAGACTGCATTTGTGGGTTAAATATAGTGCAAAAATATCATCCATTACCTAACACGAAACAAAAATGAATAGTTTCAAATATGGGCGCTTACACTTTCTGATTTGCTGTCCAAATCAAATTATTGCTCATAAATAAAACAAAAAAAAAAGACCAATCATGTTTGCCTATAAAATTTATCTAACAATGACGAAATCTGAAATGTTTCATATCTCAAGCTAACCTATTTTTGTTTTTAATCCAAGCAGTGTCGAAGAATTGAAGTTATTGGTAATTGGAAAGGCTATAAACAAATCATACATAAGAAGTAATTTCCAAGGATTCGTGGCACAGTTCATTACTTGGATCTTGCCCAATGAGAATCAAGAGGACCATAATAATTCTTGCAAACTGCAACAACACAATTGAAATGCAGTAGCTACAAAACAAAAGATACCTAGATAGAAGATGCGGCAAATATGGCATATATGCCTCAGCCTAAAAACAAAAGTGGAAGAAATAATAATTGTATTCTAAGATTCTGCAAAGAAGTCTATACCATTTTCTCTCAAAGTAGAGGGGTCTTCTTCTACTGGAACATCTAGATGCCATATTTGGCATGGATTATGCATCCTATTGTAATTTACAAGAGAGTTTAGCAAATCTACTTCAAAAGTAACATTTCCTTCCATTAAGTTCTTTCTCGTAGAAAAACTTGGTAGATTGAAAATCTGTTTAACATTCACTCAATGAATCTTTCAATTGGCAATTCGAACTTTAATTGTTGTCCGTTAACCTGTTTAGGCTTCTTTCTCAGTTGAATCCAATTTCACAAAGTACAACAAACTGGCTATCAAATCCAGACTTTCCAAACTTAATCATACTAAAATGTTACAGGGAACATCATGTTTAGCAAATACAGATTTAAAACACCCAAAACTGAATTACCTAGTAATTATTTCCATGCTAGTCCAAGTTATTAAAAAGTATGGTGATGTCAAAAAGTATGTTTAAAATAATAGTAGTCTATCAAACCAATGACATAGGGATCAACGGAATAAGAATTGATAACATGGCAGCCGAAAGCTTGCCATGGATGCAATTATAAATGAGATTTTCATGTTAAAATTTTTAGAAGTGGTAAGAGGCAATTTAGGGTCATGAATTAAAAGCATAGAGCATTGAAAGCAGAGCACTTTCCAAACAAAATACGGCTATCATTTCTTTTATGATTCAAGGCAAGAAAATGTTATATAGAGGATGAAGTCTAGTTAAGCAAGCAACACATTAGCAAACCTCTTGGATGGAAACAGATTGTAACAAAAAATCTTAACTCCAAAAATAAAGTAATAACCGATTCATTGAGTACTAAATTTGCTGGTCACTTGCATACTTCCATTGCTTAACCAATTACCAGTGGGTGAGAAAGTCCGGACCCTTCATTTGAGATCAAACTCTTTTTTCAGTACACTTTTGCTGAGGCATATATGAACCACTAAACTAATTTTGTTCATACATTCTAATTGCATATGCATTTTTTCAAGGTAAAATCCTACTTTTGTCCCTGTTTAGTAAAAACTCAATCAAAAAGTGCAATTTTTAAGCATTTGGAAAATAAGAGCATATGTGTCATATTTAAAGATTCTTCAATTAATTCAATTTGACAACCCCAACAATATTTAAAATAAAATGAAAATGTTAATTTCTAAAGTTTTCCAAGCACATGAGTTTCAATTGAACTTCAAAACACACAGCAAGTACAAGAAATAAGAAGACCACGTTTTCTTTTCTTCTATTTCACAAATTCAAAAATGGAGATTTATACAAACGCTACCTATTTGTTTTGGTACTTTGCAAATATAAGATCCAGTATGCTGTGCTACTTGAAGTGAATGATTAGGAAATAAGTCGAGGGGAAATTTTGAAAAAATCATAAAAAACTTTTCAGCAAGGAAAACATATATTAAGACATTAAAATCCATTATATTTGCATGAGTTCTTTTAACCTTGAAGATAAAAACATGAAATCAAACAAAAAGGTAATAACCTTTTTTGCCACGTTTACTGAGTTCTTTGACCTTGAAGATGAAAACCTAAAATCAAATATAAAGGTAGGAACTACTTTTTGCTACTTATATATAGAGAAAAAATTTAGAAACCATAATTGCAAATTAAAAAAGTGGACAAAACAAATCCTCCAAATATAAACAGCAACAACACTTATAACAATAATAAAAAACTTAAAATAGAGCTCAGGAAAAAAAATAAAAGTAAGTACGGATGCAAAAATTAGAAAACTCACCATGAGGAACGAGAATGCGGGAGAGAAGAAGCACTAAAAATTTTCTAAAAAGAAAAAGGCACATATCAATAACAAGTGAGAAAAAAACAGCTAGTAGAATAACCATATAGATGTTCGCACAAGAAGAGAATAATCACACAACAATAAAGATAATAGTGTATAGGAAAAAAATCAATAATAAAAAATGTATTTGTCAGATCTTAAAGATGGAAGGAGAAAATAGCCGACTCTCCAAGATAGAAACAAATGATCACGAATTAATCTGTAGGAAAAAAAAGCTCACCTCTACCTTTTTCTCATAAAATATGAGACGAACAACTGTTGCCTTCCAATCTGCCCAAAAAAAAAGAAAGAAAAACAATGATTGACTGATTGAGTAACCTAAAGTAATCATAATTTTTCTCTCTTGTATTAAAAAGATAACTCCATGAAACGAAACAGGAAACATCGAACAGTAGAAAGTTGTGAAAAAAAGAATGCAAGATTTGAATCCCAAGACTGGAGCAAAAGCTAGCGAATTTCTAATATTTGGGCATCCCTAATTTTGATACAGACCATCCATATTAAAATTGGGGTGTAAAGAAGATATCTTTGGGACGAATATTACAGCATATGGGTTCGAGGAATCATGCGCGGACAAAACGAAAAGGGGAAAAAAGATTTTTAATATGGCTAAGTAATATGAAAAAAAGATTATGACTAAGTAGCCTAAAGTAAAATAAATGTTTGCTTCCCATTCATTGTTACACCTTGATCAACGGAGAGTAATGGAGCTGGAGAGCCACGGAGAGGCAGATCTGGACAACAGCGAATCAAGGAAAGAAAAGAAGTAAAAATGAGAGAAGAAAAGGAGAAAGAAACCAAGAAGAAGGATTAGATAGGGAGGCCCATTCATTGTTATCACCTTGATCAATGGAGATTAATGGAGCTGGAGAGCCACGAAGAGGAAGATCTGGACAGCAGCGAATCAAGGAAAGAAAAGAAGTGAAAATGAGAGAGAAGAAAAAAAGAAAGAAATCGAGGAGGAGGATTAGATAGGGAGGCGCAGAAGAGACTCTCGGCAGCAGCTTCAGAAACCCTATCTATTGAATGATGAGGTGAAATCTCGATTTTGTCCTCAATTCAATTCATCAGCTCAATCAACGGAGGACTACCATCAATTGGCCAATCACAGCGTGCCACATCAGCAATTGGGTTCAATTGGAGGGATTGGCATTCACACATTTACTATATATGTTAATTAGTATAATTAATAATATCAATTATATTATATACATACTAACATACATTATATAATACATATAACTAATAATATCATTATCATAAGTTTGTAACTAATTAAATTATATATTATATATATAATTATATACACATATATATTTTATATATTTATTTTTTTAAAGCGGGTGGCGGGGCGGGGGTACACTCCCCCGCCCCCTGCCCCGTTTCTAAGGGGGGGGGAAATTCCCCTCGCCCCCGCCCCAACCCCCTCCCCATTAGCCCCCCGCGCGGGAACCGGCCCCCATTGCCATCCCTAGTCGAGGGCCTATTCCAACCTATGGTAACGATTGAAACTGAAACTACCTAAACTTTTTAGTACCATAATTGAAACTTCCTTGTACCAATGGTTAAGTGTTTATGTTTCTCGCATTGAAGTACCAGTTTGATTATCACAAAACATCTCAAATATGTGGATGGGGTTTCACAAGTTTCATTTTCGACAAATTTACCCTTTGATGTAATTGGGTTGAAAATGGTATAATAAAAGTTCAAATGTGGCGTAACTAAGCTAAGAAATAGTGTAACAAAATATAAAATTACTAATCTACCCGAAATGAAGTAAATACAATTTGTGGTCCCCCTTTCTACTTTTTTTTTCCCCTTCTCGCCCCTTCCCTATATGTTGCCTTTTGGCATGGTGTGTTTAATATCCATGTATCTAATCCCATTGTTAATTGACTGACAGAAAATTCACAGGGAAGGTGGAAGAAAATTCGGGATTTTAAATTTGGGTCCCTTAGGTTGTTTGCCAAGGCTTAGAGCAGCCAATGTGGCCGCTGGAGGAAATGGAGAGTGCGTGGAACAGGTCACAGCTTTGGCTAAATTACACAACGTATTGCTTTCCCAAAAACTCCAGTTGCTCCAAAAACGGCTCAAAGATTTTAAGTACTCGTATTTTGACGTCTTCACAGCTTCCATCGCGACAATTCAAAATCCTTCCAAATTCGGTATGTTCTCGAACACTTTCACGAATGATGGGGAAAATTCTCAAGTACTACAATCTTTCATATTAGAAGCAGAGAAATGTCTTCAGAATTAGTGGCATCTCTATTTCTAATTAAAAAATGATAATAAATAAATGTCTTTAAAATATAAAGATTGGCCTTTTTTCAAAAAACAAGTTTTTCAAATACAATACTACAGTAATATACAATAATTCAAAAAATATCTCATCCATATAATATATCAAATATTTCAAAAAATTTTTATAATAAAAATTTTTCATATACACTGTTACAGTAAAATTTTTTCAAAACACCCCTAAAAGGAGCTAATCCAAACGGAGCCTATGTATTAAAGTATAAATTATCTTCATGTTCGTACTCTTAAAAAATACCGTATGTTTTGGAGATAATTAATTATTTAACCATTGTGAGTTTAACTAATCATTTTTTTCAATCCCAAAAATGAAACCATGCTTCTCTATCCAGAATCAAGATTCGACTCCTCTTCCAATTACTCTCCTCTTCATTTACCACAATAGAAATTGGATGCATGACACATATTTCATTAGTCAGTGAAATCCAAATGTGTAATGTGAAAAGTGGAGAAGAGAGTAACTGGAAGAGAAGTCGAAGAGACACAGATGTCTTACATCCAAATCTGTATTGTGAGAAATGAAGGGGGGGGGGGGAACGGAAGAGGAGCTAGATCCTCACATCTCCAATTCCTAAATTGCTACTTCTAATATCATTATTTTCTCTTATTATGGGACTAGATCTTCTTTAAAATAGTAGTATAATACTGCTGACAATTAGCAAAGGTAGTAGAGTAACATTTTATTCGTTGGTTACTTAAAAAAGGTTTTAAGGAAGTGAAGAGTGCATGCTGTGGTAGCGGCCCATTCCGAGGATATTTTAGCTGCGGAGGAAAGAGAGGAATGAAAGAATACGAGCTATGTGATAATCCCAAAGATTATTTATTTTTCGATGCTATTCATCGGACTGAAGCGGCCAACTTGCAGTCTGCGGAGGCGATGTGGGGAGGGCCTCCCAACATAACAGGGCCTTACAATCTCCAGTCGCTGTTTCTGCTTTAATTTCTGGTGAGGACTTTGTAAGTTGTGTAAATTTGATGTTCATTACTCCAGATTTTCTTCTTATATATATATATATATATTTGGTCATGTATTAGAATAATAATTTTAATAACAAAAAGTTACAATTTCAACAATGGAGCAGTATAATATTACGGTGTTTGTTCTACAGTCAACCAGGGTAGTTTTTATACTAAATATTCAAATTAACCGGCTGACGAAAGAAAGGGAATCCAGTTACTCTAATGAATGCACCAAAGCAAATCATAGACCCTATTGTTTCACCACTAATTCTTGGGCAATAGTGTTAATGGTTGATTAAAATTAAGTCCTATTAAGTCCAGAATACTTAATGGTGATTACTAAAAAATAAAGGATAAAAAAAAACCCCGTAGTAAGTCTAATACATAGAAAAGCGCCCTATAGTTTCAAAATATACAACACGACACCTCATGCTTTGAACTAAATTGTAAAGGTGATGGAATCCATTAAATTTAACGGAAATGACTTATTGGAACCAAAAAAAAATTTTTATACCTAATTTTTATCAAATATACCTATTCTACCCCTTAACCCTCAATTCTCTCTATTTAGAGAATAAAACAAATGATTTTTTGAGCTGTCTTTTACTTAATTATATCAGGGCATTTTGGTCATTTTGTCCATTTCCGTTAAGTTTAACTGATTCCGACACCTTTACAATTTAGTTCAAAGCATGACGGGTCGTATTATATATTTTGAAACCATGGGGGGCTTTTCTGTATATTAGATTTACCACAGGGGGCTTTTTTCGTTTTTTACCCAAAAATAAATTAACATCAAAATCTTGAGGATGTATTTGGATTTATAGTGACTGATTGTTACTTGAATCCTTGGATTTTGGAATGACCTTCCAGTTCAACATATAATCCTTTGAGAAAGAGTTTTAGTTTCTTTTTGATATTTTTTTTGACGATAGAATATCGAGGAAGAACTATTATGTGATATTACAAAAGAATACACGTGATATGGAGACCATAATTCTACTTATAAATAATTTCCCTATTATCTTTTGATATTTCTATTTCAACGCATCATAAAAATACAAATTACCCTTAAATCTCTACACATTAAAAACTCATATCCTATTAGATACATTAAAATCCAAATTACAATTGATCACTTTAATTGAATTTAATCTTATTAATAGTTTATAATGTATAATTATTTACATATAAATTCAATGTTGGATTAAAGATCCAACAATCTCTTATTTGGACTATATGTGTAATTTTATAATTATGTTTTACAAAATAACCGTATGAATTCAATTTTGCTGTCATTATCAAAATGTATCTACAACCAATTCAATAACATAGGATCAATGCATTGCAAAGCAGCCTTTGTTACACCAATATAGGATCAAAGCGGCTTTTCTAACTGACCCATCCACCTTAAACTCTTGTAAGATCAAACCATACCAAAAAAAAAAAAAAAATCAGAGTGTGAATAAACCAAAACTTTAATTATGCAAAAAATATCTTTAAAACATTAATAACTAAAAAATCAATGCCGTAAAGGCATTTAGACTAACAAATTCCAATTAAAACTAAATATCATTTAATGACATGAGTAGTGTACTCATAAAATATTTTGGATTTCAATCTTTTCGTAAGCGGATTCGCAATTACGGAGATTGTTCCAATATGTTCTATAGACAACTATTCATTCTGAATTTTTCTTTAAGAGTCAGGAACTTGATGTTTATATATTTCGATTTTGTTGATCTCCTATTATTATTAGAATTTTGAGCTGCTGACTTATTGTTACAAAATAATTTGAGTGATTTTTCAATACCATCTATTACATGTAATCTTGTAACAAAATTTTGCATCGAAATTCCATGATTGGACACTACATAGTAAGTTATGAACTCTATTACCATAATAGAAGAGACTATAAGAGACTAGTTAGCACTCTTCCAAGATATGACATCCCTAGCCAATAAGTAGATATAGTTTGATGTTGATTTCATACTATCTTGACATCCAATATAATTGGAATTAGTATACCTAATGATTTCGAGTTCATTTGACATCCGATATGTGAACATGTAGTCTTTTGTTTTTTATAAATACTGTAATATCCATTTGGTTGCTTTCCAATGGTCTAATCTTGAATTGTTTAAATATCTACCCGACATCCAATAATGTATACAATATTCAGATGTGTATAGACCTGAACATATATTAGACTCTCTATTGTTGACGCATACGGAATCTTTTGCATTTCTTTTCCCTCAAAAACATTCTTATGACACTGATTGAAACTAAACTTGTGTCTCTTAACCACAAAGGTGTCACCTGATTTGCAATTTTGCATGCCATATTTTTTGAGGATCTTTTCAATATGGCTCTTTTATGATATTCCAAAAATACCTCGAGAGCAATTCCTGTGTATCTGTGTGCTTAGCGCAAAAGACGCGTCACCAAAATCTTTCATCTTAAAATTCTTAACTAAAATCTTTTGGTTTCATGCAATAAGTCTATATTATTGCTCACGAGCAAAATATCATCAACATACAATACTAAAAAATATATTTGCTCCCACAGAATTATGGTATATACACTTATCGACCAAATTCATCTCAAAATCGAATAAGATGATTACTTGATGAAACTTAAAACACCATTATCGAAATGCTTGTTTGAAGTCATAAATAGATTTTTTAAGTTTGCAAACCA